CTCGAACTTTTGTATTTGAAGTTTTTTTCTAACCCCAATGATGAACTCTGTAGACGCTGTTTAAATACGGAATCACCCTGTACCTGAATTTTTAGAATACAAATATATTTCAAGACTTATTAAGAATGTTTCAACTCCCTGTTATTATGAAGGGTGTGAGTTTAATATTTTGAACCGCGGTTGTTCGTAAAAATAGATAAACAAATTTGGATCGGTCTTCTCATATACCTACCCTTTCAAGATATTCAGAAGGGGTGGGCTGGTTTTTAAAGACCATTAAGTTTTTTGTGTACCTATATAATTTCCGAGGGGTGTTCCTGATGTTACCCCAATGTTTTATACGAATGACATTTTAATTAGGGGACGACTGCGGTTCATTTCATGTAATGAATTGAAGAAATAGGTATGTTTTGAAAAGGTGATAGCAATAATTATGCTATGCATTCCTCTTGTCCATAAACTCAATGATCACTATTTTTTTTTTACATTTACCGATAGTTTATGAATATACAACTCCAGAAATATTTGTGATAGAGGTACTTAGTTGGATGAAACCGCTACTCCCTGTGGGGAGTCTAATTAGCGATTGGTGTTTCTTATCCATTTCATAATATAGCATGGCATCTCTAGGAATATAATACAGGGTATTTCAAATGTGAATGAAGTATAGGGTTATCTATCGAAAAATCCTACCACTATATTCACGACAACTTTTATCAAAAAATAGTTATTTTTGTATCTAGAGCGCGAAATGCTACTTTGGTGATCGAGATCTGATTTTTTTGACGAGGCGTAGCCGAGTTAAAAAAATAGTCGAGATGACCAAAGTATTTCGCGCTCGAGTTGCAAACAAAATTTTTTCTACAAACGCCAAAAAAGATAGTTCAAAGTGAAAATATGCTTAGCTTGATATAAAAAATAGTGTTAAACTGGCTTAAAAGGCCTCCCCCTTTCCTCCCTAGATACGCACGATGTTCCACGAACATAATAGGAATTTTCTTTCGTGCGCTCCAAGAGATAAAACAAAATTATTGTTGAACATTCAGAAATAAATAATTTCGTGGATGTTTGCTCGATTGAGGACCATAAAGTTGAAATATAAATATCTCATATATTTCACCTAACAATGCGCGAAGTAGGTACTTCGCGCACTGTTTTACTTCGCGCATTGTTTTGTGCGAGGTATCATGGTAACGTAGGAAACTGAAAAAAAGTGTCACTTCGCAATTTGTTATCAATGCGCGAACCTTATCCACAACCCTTATCAGAAGTTTCACAGATTATTATCTTCTGCAGTCACCAGCGAAATAATCAATCCGCTCAAAATATTGAAAATATGTGATCAACAATAACTTGGTTAATTCAAGTCTCATTTGTTCGATTGTTTTTCAATTTCGTAGGTAAACTCATAAGGAATCTCACACAAGTTTGAGATTTCAATAAATAAGGCATGACAAGCAATGACACAAAATTGCATTTTCACTCCAATTTTAAAACAATCTCTGGAGTGGCTAAGCTGGTATATCGTTTATTTTTTCAGTCAACCATCAAGCTACGTTTATTACGTACGTTTTCCTTTTTTATTTCTTACGATAACTGCTTTTTTGTGAAAGTTACAAGGGTTTCAGGAAAAATTTCACGATGTACCAGCTTAGCCACTTCAGACATTGTTTTAAAATTGGAGTGAAAGTACATTTTTTGTGTCACTCTGTATAATTTGGAGATATGCCTCATTTCTTGAAATCTCCACCTTGTGTGAGATTCCTCATAAATTTACCTACGAAATAAAAAAAAATCAAACGACTCAGACTCGAATTCACAACGTTTTATTGTTGATCAAATTTCATAAATATTTTGAGTGGATGAATTATTTTACCGATGAGTGTATTTTCACTTCTTTGTAACCGCTATTTCGACCCCATAAAACAAATCTTGTCTGATTCATTGGTAATCACTCACTCAGTTTGGGAAGGTATTGTAATAATGCAATATACATATGTCAAATATATCGTTATTCATGGCTAGCACGATGTAGAAGCCAACGCACAAAAATTGTTTTTCTAGGGTCAAAAAAGTGGTGACAACGAAGCGAAAATAGAAGATATCATACTGTATGTATATGTATTTTTTTTAGGATCACGAGAAATCACAGATTCCCAACAAAATATAAAAATCAGAAAGTTCCATTCAAAAAAAATATTTGTCGTTTTTCACGCTTCCAGGAATCACCCTATAAAACTGGCCCTGGAAAAGCCTCATCGCGGCATTCAACTTCCTTATATTGGTAAGGGTGGGCCTTTTCGATGAATAATCCTGGTGCATACGATACCTGTAAATAGAGGATACCCTTTGGTGATGGTTTTCCAATTTTATTTTTTCAATCCAAAACCGTTTGTCTAACGAAAAAAAGTCAGGAGATTCTTTTTGTTAGGAACTAATAAGAGATTAAAAAACTGATTTTTATTTCAATAATAAACAGTGGCGTGCAATTTTTTAATGTAATAAAATTATATTTTGGTCAATATCAACGGTTCAAAAAAAAAGAAGATGATAAATTATTTTCATCAAATTATAGGAAAATTCATCCTATTTCAAAACATATAAAAATTGATATACCATTACAGTTCTTTTTTTTGAAAAAAACTCAAAAATTTGCTAACATTTCAGTTAACGCCATCTAGCGGCGACAGCAAAAGTCAAAAATTCAAAATAAAATGAGCGTTTTGTAGGGCAAATTATGCTCTTTCATATGAGCCTAAGTTTGCTAAAATCGGTCGGAATAAACGGGAGAAATCTTTGTTTGTTTAAAAAAACAATTGAACTTCGCCCACCACTTTATTTTGATAGATAGAACAAAACGTTTCAGACAAAAAATGTAGGGAAATGGTCAGTAAATATGAAAATGATATCATCGATATACTTTCATGGGACAAACTCGAAAATAATTTCCAGCAATTTCTTTTAGCGACTTTAATCATGATTTTTTTTTCTCAAATCTATACGACCAATATCTTATGAGATATGGCCGCTCGCTACCCTTATAACTGATCACCCTGTACTAATTTTTTTTAACGGATTTTCAAAAATGGTACACTCTATCTAGTTGACCACAGACAGAATTCCATATACTGAATATGAATCTTCAAACACAAGATATGATTATCAAACAAGGTGCTTTATTATAATACAATATATCATGCTGCTGAGCCCCACCCTTGTGGGAGAGAACAACAGGGTTGTCATTGTAGTCTACCTGCTTCTACATCTACAACTTTATCTCCATAATTCCGTCTAAAAGCCACTGTTTAAGTTATTTCTATACATCTGTGAGGAATTTAAATGCATTATATTATTGTATGTAAATCTGGGAGAAGAAAAAGCAAGGCATACGGACAAGAGGGTTGAAATGGTTGAAGTGAGGTGAGGGTTGTTTATCTTAGTTGGTGGAATTTTTCGTGGCCAGGATTATAAAATGCGTTTTAGGGCGGTTCAAGTACACATGAATATTCAACAAACGTCCAAGTTAACAAAGATAGTATTCCATTCCTAGGTGGTTCTATAATCGTATTTATTCATGCTGGTTCTTTATTAACATTTGTTTTGTTTCGGCACCTATTTGTGCAGACTGTTAGTTAATATCACCAAGGACTCCAAGGAGAACGCCTCCTCCACTATAGGTATGTTAGAGATCTTGAATTATTTTTTCAAGAAACACTGAGAATCAGTGGCGGTTCGTCAGGGTAGGAAAGGTAGGCACAGCCATCGCATACCTTCATAAAATAAAAATGAAAACGGTTGTTGATGATGATACTGCCTACCCCAAGAAAATCACAAATTTAATAACATCTGTGAAAAAAGGAAAAACAGAAACCATTGTGAAACTCAACAAGTGGATCAGAATACTTCTAGTGTGAGCACCACATGAGTTTTATACTGGTCCATCGGATATTATCTTTTGACGAGGGTGAAATATTCACGGAAATATTGACTCTCTGCCACTTAGATCAGTTTGAATCGAGGCACGTTTGGATATTTGGAGAAGGGGCATATTTCCTTTCCTTGCATAATAGTTGTCTGAGATTTATATGAGTGTCTTCTTCAAAGAAATTTCGATATTGTTATTTGTTGACTCAATTATCATGAGTACTGTCAGTACTGATGGTGGCGATTCTAGTTCAATATATTCACAGTGATCATAATTCATTTATGAATAACAGTAGTTTTAGACACCAGAATGTTTCGAATAAATTCAACACTAGTGTTAACATATTCAACTGCATACAAATCCAGAGACAATACAAGACGTGACTTGATTTTGATTAGCTCTGAGGAACCTTGTGCATGGACTTAAAGTTTATACTCTAGAATCAACAACAAATACTGAAATCCCTCCAAAGATTCATGAATATGTAGTTAATGAATCTTTCTAAAACTATTGAGTTCTAAAACTAAAAGTGATCGCAAATTAGTCAATTTATGCCTATATGATATATTGAGATAATATATAATATGTCCTGATTATACAAAGTAGGTTACACAAAGAGGGCCATTTTACTATGAATTTGAAACTCCATATGAAGTGGCTCAGCTGTACACCATGTAATTTCTTGTTTCGTTATCAAGACACATCTATTACTCCCAGTTCATTTTCTCAATTGTGCCAATAAATTCCATCTTGAAAAAAATACAAGAGTTTCAAATTATTGAATTTAACAACATTGAATATAACGAAAATGACCTTGAAACTAACCAAAAACTGACTATTGCAGCTCTTCTTGGCTTATCGCCAATTAGATTTTGAATGTAAAAGATTCTCTGCCATTTAGGGGTCGCCAACTTCTTGAAAATTTGGATCGATTATTTTGTCGGTGATAGTGTAATTTCCAAAGAAAAGGTACATACAAGAGTAATCTTTCTAGTACTGACTGCCCTGTTTTCGTTTCAGGTCGACTAGTGGCCTCAAATTTCGGCAACTAGCCCACGGTGCCCACTTCATCCAGCTGATCTACGACGACGAAGATCAAGTGATAGACTGCGAGTTCGGCCACGATAGAGGCCAAACCGAATCGTTCCTATTTAATTTTAAGAGAGATCTAAGTGATCTAGCAGCTACCTCAAACGTTACCATGGAACCTCTGGACGGCAGGGACGCTCCAGAAGAGTTCCTGTGGATGAACTATACGCAGCTCAGGAAGGAGTGCAGCCTCAGGCACAAGGAGATCAAAGAGGCTGCTAGGGAGAGAAGGGAGAAGCAGCAAACTGAAAGGTCAGTGGATTTCTACAGGGTCCTGCATCTCACCTGCCGTCTTCTATAGCTCAGTTATCAGTTGAGTCAGGATTTTGATATTTTGCAGACTTCAATTGTTGTAATGAGGCGCATATCATAGAAATAATTTCGATTATACAGGTCTCAAAAAAGTGTGACGACATAATGATATATTTTCTAAAAGGGATGCCATATATTTTGTTGCACATCTGAGTGCTTCTAGTGGTTATACCTACATACTGCGGGGATTTATTTTTGAAATCGGTACAGTGATATTCAGGTGAAAATAAAATTCAATTTTGCACCACTGGTCAAAAATATTAATAACAAAAAAGAGAGTGCCTGGTCAATAGCATGAGGGATACATATCAAATAGGGCCTAAGAGGATCGCTAACCGAGTTTGATCGACACGAATCATCACAGAGGGTGCAAAATCTAGTGGCAATCTTTCAAAATTTCAAAGCACTATATTTTTCTTGTTTCAAATTGGAGCCCCTATTTATTTTCATGACATTCGATGCGTGAATAAACAACAAACTCTTTTTCTTATTACAACCTTATCGAAATACTCATCATATCAAAAGTTATTTGCAGAAAACTTGTTAAATCTACTTTCCTGATAGTCATTTAAATGAATAAAAAACGAACGTGGCTGGTAAATTATTGACATTCAACTCTGATGGAGTGTCAGGAGTCTATTTGGGCTTGAGTAGTTCAAATTCAATACATTGTTAGCACATTATTATAAATTTTTTGAGCTGTTTATAACGAAATATTGTTCTTTGTCATGGAGTAGAACTATTAACGGTATCCAGCATTAGTTTGGTGTGAATTATATTTCATTACGTATACTCGAAAGTATATTTTGAGACAATGTGATAGTTTCTTATGGTCTTTCCGGTTATAATTGCACAAGTGCATGAACATTACCTATAATTTTGCAAGAAAGCGTCCCGCAAAATCCCTTCGTTACACAAAATGACATGATTGTTGCCTAACTGATTACGCAAATATCAATTTCCAGGCGTGACTGCAATTTTGTCCAAATAGGGACGACAGTCTCATTCACACGTATGAAGTTATTGAATTTCAATGTTCAGATAATGAGAAATTGGACCTACATATTTGGACTCCTTATGATGTTGTTTGCTTATTTTTCTTGTATCGAGGAAATTGATTAGTTTGCCTCTTCAAAATCTCCGTCAGGGCCGGTCGAACCCAGTAGTAAGTGCCTATGCACAGCATCATCAGGGTGCAAATCAGAAAACACATTTTTGCACCAGAGGTCTCCTGTTCTGAGAAAATGTTGATATAACAGTTTCTTAAAAGGTATGGGTGCTATTCAACAGGTTGCACAAAAATTTTTCATTACTGACATTCTCCAGAGTTCATCACGATTTTGAAATAATGACCATTACCTTATACCCTTATTTCGGAAATGAATGAATAGAAAAGTATCACACACACCTATCAGGTATATGTATATTTTCTTCTGTACAATGTGATACCGAATGAAGAACAGCGAATGTGAGAGATTAATATACCAGAACTCAAGTAATTTCCACAACTGTTCATAGAAATAAATAAACATTGAATTATGCATCTATTCGTATGAACCATTGTCTGCTAAATATGGAGATGCAAATGTTTTTTTCCTTAATGCCGATTGATTTCAGATTTAGCCAGGTTAACGCTTGATACCTAAAGACCGGTTTCATGCTTTTGGCCCTCATCAGTGTAGGGTAGTCAACAGTCAAGACCGCCAGCTCAAACTGGCCCAACAACCGAAGGAAAAACACACTCGCTGTAGTAGTGCTGCCAACTCAGCCATTCTATGTCTAGGTCTAGCCATTTTTAAACTCATCTAGGTACTAAAAATTGCATCGCTAAATGACTACATTTAGCGATTCTTACTAGCTATTTTCTATTCTGAATTCCTCTAACGATATTTTCATTTTTATAATATTCCCATAGATAGTTCATTATATTCACGATCTAATCTAAGTTAAATTTAGACCAGTTTGCATTTCTGTGGATTATATTCACGATCTAATCTAAGTCAAATTCGAGGGGTAAATCACGTGGGAAGTTTAGTGTACAGACACAAGGAAGTTCGAGGAAGTTTGGGGAAGTTCGAGGAAGTTTGGGAAGTTCGAGGAAGTTTGGGGAAGTTCGAGGAAGTTTGGGAAGTTCGAGGAAGTTTGGGGAAGTTCGAGGAAGTTTGGGGAAGTTCGAGGAAGTTTGGGGAAGTTCGAGGAAGTTTGGGAAGTTCGAGGAAGTTTGAGGAAGTCCGAGGAAGTTTGGGATGTTCGGAGAAATTTGAGGAATTTCGAGGAAGTTTGGGATATTCGAGGTAGTTTGGTAGAGTTTGAAACATTTCCTGATGTTTAGGTAGTTTTGAGAACAGATAGCAATGTTTAGTCGGATATTCATTTCTCGATTTTTTCATTTCGGCAAATAATAGAGATGATGTTAGATAACTCAATAATACCTACCTACCTGAAAATTCGTGGTACTGAAAAATTGCATTGCATAGGTAATTAGATTAGAATTGGTTAGAAGGTTGATTTCTGTTGGTGGATTATTCAAAGTTGTAAGTCTAGTTTCATTTTGTATTGTATTACAATGCAGATTTTCATGACATTCAGTTTAAAATCCCTTCCAGTAAAGTACTTTTAAGTTAAGGTATACTCACCTATACCTCTGCCTATACATATACGTACAGTCAGATGCAATGAACATGTCGCACTAGGGCGGTGATGGCACCTATCTAGTCACCTCTGCAATAAGAGCGCTAACACCATCCATCAACCGCGATATTTTACTTTGCATCTAACTGAACCTACCTATACCTACCTACCATAGGGAAAGGAAAAAAAGTTGAATCAATCAAATTGCTTACCTGGTTTGTGATGTTTGAAAAGTTTTGGGAAGTTCGAGGAAGTTTGGGAAGTTTAAGGAAGTTTTGGGAAGTTCAAGGAAGTTTGGGGAAGTTCGAGGAAGTTTGGGGAAGTTCGAGGAAGTTTGGGAAGTTCGAGGAAGTTTGGGAAGTTCGAGGAAGTTTTGGGAAGTTCGAGGAAGTTTGGGGAAGTTCGAGGAAGTTTGGGGAAGTTCGAGGAAGTTTGGGAAGTTCGAGGAAGTTTTGGGAAGTTCGAGGAAGTTTGGGGAAGTTCGAGGAAGTTTTGGGAAATTTGGGAAGTTCGAGGAAGTTTGGGTGATTTGGGGAAGTTTGGGAAGTTCGGCGGAGTCTGAAACATTTCGTGATGTTCAGGTAGTTTTGGAGGTTCGAGGATGTTTGGGAAGTTTCCGAAAGACCAAGCAAGCTGTAGGATGTCTGTGAACGTTTAGACGGAGCCGGTCGGGAAAAATCTTTGGCTATATAATCCAAGAAACTTAATATCTCAGGATATACAGAGCTGTGGTGACAAAAGCCTAGGGGAGATTCCTCTCAACAAATTATGAAATCAAGTTCATATGACAATGGGTCCGAAAATGCTTCGTTTCCGAGATACAGGGTGTCCAAGCTGAAAGAATTATGGGTTTTTTATTATTGCTAGAGGCTTCTGTCAAGGCTTTTGTCGACACAACTCTGAAACACCCTGTATAGAAATAATATTTCACATAATTTCAAAGAGTTCATTATCATTTCGGAACTTTCAACAGATGCTGTTAGATAAGTCCTCGGATAAGTCAATAGTACCTACCTACCTAAAAATTTGTGGTACAGAAAACCTGCATTGCATATTATGTAATTATAGTTTGATAGTTGATTTCTGTCGGTGGATTAATCAAAATTGTAATAAAGTGGAATTCCATTTTGTATTGAAATACAGTGCAGATATTCATGACATTCAGTTTCAAATTCCTTCCAGTAAAGTACTTTCAAGTTTAGGTACCCACCTATACATAAACGTAGGTAATACCTATCTATACAATGTGATCTGGTTTGTAATACAAAATATTCAACAGTGTGTTGTACTCGGTTGAAATTATAAGAAAAATCATATAGGGTGTTTAAAATACGAGTCTGAATATTGTTTTTTGATGAAAAGTTCGAAACGGTTTGAGATAAATCCACAAAATCACCCAAGATACTAAACTTTTTAAGCTCTATAAGATGAAATGAAGATTATGTATAATGAATGCAATAAAAGTATTTCATTATTTCAACAAGAACACCACACTGTTGAATTTTTGTATAACAAACCGGACCACCCTATATATATACCTACAATAAGAAAAGGAACAAATTTTGAATCTATCAATACTAAATTGCTTATAAGTACTTGATTTGTGACGTTTGATGAAACGTTTCGGGAAGTTTAGGAAGTTCGAGGAAGTTTGGGAAGTTCGGGGAAGTTTGAGGAAGTTCGAGGAAGTTTGGGAAGTTCGAGGAAGTTTGGGAAGTTTGAGGAAGTTCGGGGAAGTTTGAGGAAGTTCGGGGAAGTTTGAGGAAGTTCGAGGAAGTTTGAGGAAGTTCGAGGAAGTTTGAGGAAGTTCGAGGAAGTTCGAGGAAGTTTGGGAAGTTTTGACCCATGGGAAGTTTGGTGTACAATTTTTTTCGCCGTGATTTACCCCTCGGTCAAATTTAAACCAGTTTGTATTTCTGTGGATTTTGTACTCCAGACTTTGAATTTTGTGCCATTTTGACAAATCGGGTGCGTTTTGCATTCCAACATTTCATCATGCGCATGAATCGAAGACGAAAATGACGTGAACACATCGTGTCATACGTAAATGTCAATAATACTAGAGCCAGTAGTCATCTTGAGTAGAGTCTAGCTCTAGATCTGACTCTACACTTGAACTATCAATGTCAGAATCGTAGTCCATGGTCAGATTTCTTGTATTCATCCTTTTTCCAACAATCATCTAGCCTTTTTTTAGAATTGGCTGTTGGCAACACTGCATTAGTATTCGTTTATACGCATCGATGCTCGGATTTCGGGCGGATGTAATTCAATGTTCTGCGTGGCGTTAGCTAGGAAAGTAGTTGTTTTCCTCCCGTCATCTACCATTGTCCTCTATGTTATGAATATTTGTGATGGTAATGACGTTGAGTTTTGGTATTTATTTAACATTTCATTCCACTTTGAGCATTTTGGCGATTTCGTAGTTGAATGTGAGAAAGTTGCAACCACTCTGAAACCAAAACTGTTTTTCGATACGCTTTTTGATTTCGAACCCCGAAAAAAATCCCCTCTGACCGGCCCTGGTCTCCATAATATCCACTAGAATTACAATATTTTACAGCTACCTCTGGTCACCGATAAACTACTAGCAATTATCGTTTCTTCAAGATTGCCAATACATTATAAGTTAAATTAAAAAGGAATCGACTCGTGTATGAATATTGATTAACAGCTTATTGGTCTGACGAATGAAAAAATTATCAACCCATGTCTTTATTATTGATGCGAGCAGTTGCGAGACATTTTATATACAACCACTTCCATAATAGGTGAATGTCATATCAGATAATTTGGTAGTGGTGGTATGAAAATGAGTTGATTAGCCTCAATTATGACTTTATGAGTCTAGAGTTGTATTGTCAGCGTTATATATGGTGAGAGATGACAATTTGTTGAAAAACACATTTTCCAATTGTCCAAAGTAGACATATTTTGTTCCATGTCTGTATTGCTTACTATACGGAGTTGAAATATTGCTCTTGTTGTCTCACTAGGTCTTCTGAAAGATCCAAAAGGTCCGTGCTCATGATGCCTGGGAGTGTATGGTGTGCTAACCCGAGTGGTAACCATAACAATGCGAAAAAATATACAGTTTTGGGAATCGTAATGTCCAGAACGGATAGATGCTACAGGAAGCACGATTTTTGCACTTGTAGTCAGTCAAATCTCCATTGACATTGTTGATATGATCAATAATGAATTGATGACTGTGTTATACCTTTTTGTGTTCTCAACAGCATTCTCTTGATAGAGTTCACACATGATATCACTGTACTATCAAATAGCTTATCGTCGTTAGGCAGTATCTATATAGTGCTGTATTACCTATTATATTTTGTTAATTCGACATCAACTTGCTGAATTTTTGGTTATATTCTGTTGATAGACTAAGTAGTTTTAATAAATAACATTGCAATAACTTATTGTTGTTCGTACTATACATCTCAGTGAATGTCTATAACAATATTTTATTTTTAATATTCATCGTTTGAAAATTGCATGTCAAATCATAAATCATAACTCACATTATAACAGAAAAAATATTCTGTCATCATCATTAGCCCAAGTTTCTTGTTTTTTTTACAAGTTTCTTGCATATCGCGGAGGAAATACACAAAACTTGTCCTGTAAATGGAAGAGTGAATATTATATTGAATTATACTAGTAACTACTTTGGAAGGAAAAAATTTTTCTCTGCTCCAACAGTTGGTATACGACCATATACGACTCTTTTGACTCTGATATTTGATGTCTACGTATCTACCAAACGAGTATTCGTTTATAAGAGTCGATGCATAGATTTCGGGAGGATGTAATTCAATGTTCTGCGTGGCATTAGCCAGCAAAGTAGTTGTTTTCCTACCGAAATCAACCATTGTTGTTCATTTTATGAACATTGTGTGGATATGACTCTGAGTTTTTTGTATTTATTTAACATTTCATTCCATTTGGGCATTGTGGCTATTTCATAGTTGATAAAACAAGTTGTTGAATGTGACAACTCATTTCCAACAGTGTAGAGTGTCTAAGTGTAAAGTTAGCGGCCTATTCGTTTCGCAGATCCAAACGCGACCTCTCCGACCTGTTCCGAGTGCCAGGGACGAAATGGTGCGGCAAAGGGTACTCTGCCGACAAGTACACCCAGCTGGGAGGCTTCTCCAGGACGGACAGGTGCTGTCGCAAGCACGATCTGCGCTGCCCCTTCTGGATCGAGGGGTTCGAGACCAAGTACGGGCTGTTCAACTGGCGGATGAACACGCTGATGCACTGCAACTGTGATGGACGGTTAGTAAAGGCATGCTTCTTCAATTTGGTAGGTGATGAAGATAGGGGTCTAGTTTCATTTTAGTGTTTTGTTCATACAGGTTGATGATTTGATATATTTGGTAGTGGAGATGATATAGTTAGACATTACACTCTATCCAGACTCGCGCTTCGCTCAATTGAGGACGAGATGATACACTTATGGGTGCAACCATTTCGTGTTTGATCACATTTCAATCCTGTATGGCGAACTTCCAGTTTTTATGCATGAAACACCCTGTATATTTTTACATATCCTAGTTCAACAGGTCAATACAAGTATTTATGTCAAATGTCATTTTTTCGAAAATGTTGAAATAAAAATAGATAATTTATTTTACTTCGTGAATGAATGAGATGTGGTCAAAGCTATTGTAATGATATTTCCCTTAGAGGGGCTCTAGAAACATCATCAGTAAGACAGGAGTACAACGATATAACACGCATATTTCCGAACACTCAATATATGCCGTAGTGACAATTACATGACAGAAGATTTTGGAATGTTCGGGAAACAATCGATGGAACAATTAGAGAGCGAGGTTTCGTTCTAGCTTCTAGAAGTTTCTAGAACAAAAAGAAGGGTACGGAATATCAATCGAGAACGTTCTCGAATCAAAGCCTACCAAAGGGATCTCATATATATATGGACGGCCAAACCAAACATCTGCAGTCAGTCAGTGGAGCAGCGAGTGTCAGAGAGACAGTTATATACCGCGTGATATAAATCGTTTTACATAAATAGTAGTTATTAGTTTGATATAAATTAGTGTTTCTTTAATTCAAATAAATCAGTTCGAAAATAAATAGTGTCGTGTTCGCTTCTGCACCCGAATATCGTAACACTATGTTCCTACAGGGTTGATGTGATTCGATACATCTCTCTGGAGATGTTACGCCGTAGACCCTACTAAAAGCACAAAAGTATTACCAACTTCGTGAGATGATGTACGGCATTACTGTACTGTCAGCGCTATATTACCATCTTTTGTACCATATCACCGTACGATGATAGGTATACTTCTCTTTCCATACTAGAATATTGAGAGTTATAATCAAACGACAGATTTGTTTCCTCGCCTTTTCAAAAGCTCTATCACTTACCTCTTTGTGTTTTTTACGAAAAAAAAGTCTCCTTTATAAATATATTGTTTGTAGTTTTAAAGTAATGTTATCATACGAAATGCATAGATGCATAAAATGATTTGTCTAATACATAATACGTATATTCACTTTTTCTTGCAAGAGATGATTACTTTCAAATAGCAACATCATTGAAAAAATAGGAATTTGAATTGAATTTGGGCACGAGTGTTTACTACGTTGTGGAGACACAATCACGGCGATTTCAATGATTTCAATTATTCAATATATGTATTTATTTCAGAATCTCCTTGTATGTATTGTTTCACTATAGTAGATGCTAGTAGATAAAACCCACGGTACTGTACGGCTTGGGCACTATCATTGTTAGACACGAAGGTGTTAAAAACCTAATTTTGGAGTGTTTGCTGTATACTTGAAGACCAACTGTATAATAATTAATAAGTGACCGTGATGTTTTCTAATTTATATAATAGGTGTACAAATACTCGAACTGAAGTACAGGATGGGCCAAATTGAACACTGTTAAAGGGAAAGTCTTATTCTCGAACAATATAAAAAAAACTAATGTCGGTGATTGAGGGGCAATTTTTCAAGAGTGACCCATTTGTGTATATGAACCAAGTGTCAGCCCTAATAGCAAATACCGCGCCAGTGCCAGGTATAGGAAAAAGACGTGGACAATGTTAGGTTATGAAATGAAAGCAAACAATATCGTTATGTGAGACAAAACAGTATTGCTGGCAGTGATTATTCGAAAAGAAGTTGTCCATCTCGACAATAACGAATGAAATACAGATCAAGCAAGTATGTGAATCTTGAAGGCTTTCCAGTTCAAAACAAAAATACTCAACTATAATGAGGTTTACTTATATTCCCAGTATGGGTATGAAATGCCAAATCTGCCGAAATCGGAAACAAATCAGGTATGCGACCCAACCCAAATAACCAACCATAACATTGTTGTTTGTTCTTGATGACTTCTACTACACCTTTTTTAGGAACTACAAGTGTTGCCTAGCAACATACCTACGTTTGTGTCAGTGATAGAAACGTCAATTCAAGGGCTAATTTTGGGATTTAAATCAACGACTTTTGTGTGGATTGCATTAAAAAGTAATTTGTTAGGCCTGTTGTCACTAATTTCATTATCATAAAAAGAAACAATCAAAAAATTTTAGAAGTACCTATTGTGATTTCGAGAAAACAGAATTGAAAATAGATGTAACATAACTGGAATCACATAAGGATTTCAGAGATAATATAGCGAACTAAGAGGATGTTGCTATTTTGAATTCTAAGGTTTGTTGCTCTGACGGTGAAGGGGTTGAACATGATATAATAACAAATACTTCAAAGGTCCTCCTCGATATATATACTCGGTATATTATTCCTTCTCCTTTTCATCGCCTCTTTTATTCCTTTTTGGTAATGATCATCGTATTCCAATGTCTCACTGTCTCTCGTTCTCATCATTTTTGACTTTTGAGAAGTGTAACCTCTGGACACTCTGTATTCATAACTGTACAAATAGACAGCAGAAATGATTCAATATCTTTCAGTTTTCATTGTTTATGATGTGAACTGGCGATAGTCTCTTCATGTAATTAGTCGATTCGATAAAGACATCTACATCTCTCGAGATGAACAGATAACAAAGACCTTTTCGGGGATGAAACTTGAGACGACATGATGTTCCTCCCTGCGGGACGATGGGTCGACTTTTTCAAAGGTAGATCGCTGGGTTGATAAAACCGCCAGAAATATTCACGCTGTCCGAAATGCAAATCAAGATGAATGGTTGGGAAATTGAAAATGACGCATGACGATTTGTATATAATGTATAATAATCCTCTCAGTAACTGTAGATCTGACAAGACATCATACAGGGTGAGTCAGTTTTCTTTGGACCAAACTGTTAAATATAAATGAATGGATGAAACTATTATACAATATAAATATAAAAAATTCGATAAAACGGCAAACATTATTTATTCTTCATATTTCTTGTGGAACGTTGTGGTGGAACATTCGCGAATGCCGTTTATTCCTTCATCACCCTGTCCACTCTTTTCAGCAAGGTTTGATGATGCGGGAGCCATAATTGAAAATCTCCTTGGAAGACAATCTGAGACTATTTCGCGAGATGATGGTCTGGTTTGGTGATGATTCGAATCATGAGACGTCCTGTAGAACTGACATCTCATTTCTTGTGATCCGTTTCCGTTTCACTCTACTGAGCCTCTTTATTAAAGCAGTTCATTGATAGTCTTCTAATTGAGCAGGTACTTATTATTTAAATATACTTGTATGGTATACAGGGTGTAAATTTGAAAACTTTCAATGCGAATATCTCGCGAAAGAAAAAAATTTGAAAAACGCCGTTTGGCAAAAATGCTAAAGAGTTAAGGGGAACTAGAACCACCATATTTCGGTCATGGGATGAGTCACCCCGTCGGCGCGACACACCCCAACTTTGAAATGTCAAATGGCACTACCTTTTTTGTGATGCCTCAAATGAACAGTCTCAGTCAGTAGTATTCACCTGTACAAGACTTTTTTTCCACCCACTACAGGGTATACGAAAAATATAAAGTCGAATAAAATAAAATGAATTGTGTTAAAAGGATATTTTATTTGATCGGATGTTCAAAATGCATTCCATTCTGTTGTAAGCAATAGTATAATCGATGTTCAAATGCCATTCTAACATTTTGGAACACATATCTTGGAATATATCGGCATTCTGCATTTTATTTTATTCGACTTTATGTTTTCCGTTCACCCTGTAGTGGGTGGAAAATAAGTCTTGTACAGGTGAATACTACTGACTGAGACCGTTTATTTGAGGTATCACAAAAGAGGTAGTGCCATTTGACATTTCAAAGATGGAGTGTGTCGCGCCGACGGGGTGACTCATCCCTTTACTGAAGTATGGTGGTTCTAGTTCCCCCTAACTCTGTAGCATTTGTGCCAAACGGCGTTTTCATAACTTCTTTATTTAGCGAGATATTCGCATTGAAAGTTTTCAAATTTATACCCTCGACTTAATGTTTTTCGTACACCCTGTAGTGGGTGAAAAAAAGTCTTGTACAGGTGAATACTACTGACTGAGACCGTTCATTTGAGGTATCACAAAAGAGCTAGTGCCATTTGACATTTCAAAGTTGGGGTGTGTTGCGCTGACAGGGTGACTCATCCCTTCACTGAAATATGGTGGTTCTAGTTCCCCTTAACTCTTAAGCATTTTTGCCAAGCGGCGTTTTTCTAACCTTTTTATTTCGCGAGATATTCGCATTGAAAGTTTTCAAATTTACACCCTGTATAAGAACAAATCAGATTTCTTGACCCAAAATGTTACTGCACTTAAAATTTCATTATTAGAAACCTGAAGGAAAAATTTAATCAATAGTAAATTACATCTTGTTTGTAAAATGTTTGAAGAAAAAGAATATAGATATATTGATAAATAAAATATGAAATATCACTCATCTTTGGAGGTTTTGTTAAAAATAATATTTTATATTTGTCAATATACCTCTATTAACTACAGAATAGCCACAGCGCTCAAAGTGGAATGAAATGTTAAATAAATACAAAAAGTTCAAAGTCATTTCCACAAAATATTCATGAAATGAACAACAATGGTAGATTTCGGGAGAAAAACAACTACTTTCCTGGCTAATGCCACGCAGAACATTGAATTACATCCTGCCGAAATCTATGCATCGACTCGTATAAACGAATACTGATACAAGTGATTCTTTCCTGAATGCCTATTGATTTCGATTCAGCCAGGCCACGCTAGACACCAACATACCAGTTTCAAGCTCTTTGACTCCCATCAGTGCAGGGCAGTCCCCAGCCAGCAGTCCTAAGCATAGCCTGGCCAAACAAAAATCAAGTCGACCAGCGTTTTTCCGGATTTCCATATTAAAGTCA